GATTGCAGGCACGGTGGAAAGCAAAACAATTATTGGGTGTTATCCATTAAGAAGAATTCGAATCACAACTGTTAACAATCCATAACACCAGGGTAGTTGAGGGCTTTTGTCTGTATCATAAAAGACCCTCAAAGTTACCATAAAGCTTCATTCTCTTTCAGTGTGATACGTTACACATGTGATGGTTTATTTTGCAAGCAAATTCTGCATGTAAGCTGTAAAGTGCCTGAATGGTTGGATTATGAAATAGAAAAATAAACAACTGTAATTAAGGGATCAAGCATTCCAATATTGCCTCTATTATATCATGTGACTTTATTTTCCTAAAAGTACTTCAGAGAAATATTCTGCCAAATTAAGAACTTTAATCTCTCGTAAGATGATCAATGAAATATGGATCTCCTAGTCAGAAAAAGCAGCATTAACATGTTGACTACAGAAAACGTTTTCTGGGAAATCTTTCCTGAGTAATTTTTAAGCTTTAAATAAAAGTTTAACTATTGAAATCACCTGTCTAGTTTAATTATTCATTATTTCATTTTCTAGAGGAAATTAAAAACCTTTTGTAGTTCTTTCCATCTGAAGGTGTATTGTATGCATTGAATTTTAGCCCAAGACAGCTATTACAAATTAAAATAGGTACATTTTTGAAGCTTTTGTAGGTTTTGAAAGCACCTATGAAATTTGGGACTATGGAGATATCATTCTCCTTAAGTTTATACTACACTGTACACTGATTGTGAAGTTCATGCAGATTTTGTTAGAGATGCTATTTTCAACATAAGAAATGTTTAATTATTTCATGAAACAGTATTGCAAAGAAGCCTACAAAAGGTGCTTCCAACTGTTTGATTTATAAATCAAACTCTGATTCTGTATGCGGATACATGACAAAAGTTTAACTAAGCAAAGTCTTCAGTATTGGAACAACTAGAATCTATCAGTGATGTATTCAAGTACACATTTTCACCAGTTATTAACATCCTACTTTATTAGAGAGTTCATTTTTTGAAGTGCTTTGTGAATATTAAGTTTTAGAATGTTACATTTTCAGAAATGTAATAGATTAGTCTACTTTATACTGATATTTTTTAAAAAATTCTATTGCACAAATTATTTTTTCACAAAACCTTACTAGGCTGTGTAAGTTTTCCTAAATGATTTTTTTTGTCTGACCTCAGAAGGGCCTTCGTTTTATATATTTTATTATTATTAACCAAAGAATCGAATGTCAAGCTTTAGTGAAAAGAAAAAAAAAATTGATATTTTGCATGACATTTGGCTATTTAATCAAAGCAACCCACTGAGATACAGGCATGCATAAAAATTAAGGACAAGAAATGAGAAGGAAAACCATATGTACAAAAAGAACAAACTTACATACTATTCTTCCCTTGCTTTGCTATCTACTTAGGAAGGCAAAATTATCTGTCTTTGCCTAAAAGCACAATATCTTTAATGACCACAGTGGCTGGATGCAGAATTTTGCAGATCATCAACAGAAAACTTTTACTACCTCAGTGCTCAAAATATCTGTCCAAGAAAAAGCTTTTCATACTGATTTTGAGGGAATAGTGCCACCTACTGAGTCAATGTCTTCCACTTCTGTAGCACTTGAGAGTTCCCATAAATACAGATTTAATCCAGCATTGTGAACTTGAAAAATCTTCTGCTCCTTAATCTTTGAACATTATTATTATGTTCCTAATATTTTTTTTTCATTAAATTTATTCTACCAGCTCTTAAACTAAAGCGTAAACTACTTGGGTGTAACCCATATCTACTAATGGGTTGGTGCACTCTAGCACGTGAAGCTCAGAGCCTACAAGATATTACAAATGCGGTTGGAATATAAATAATGAAGAACACGGCTCCAGGCTCTTAGATAAGGAAGGGAGTCCACT